TAGTCGGAGACATCGAGTACAAGTATCGATTACGGAGGAATACAAGTACGAATACGAGTACGAATACAAGGGATAAATAGGAGGGGACGGCTGAACTCTTCCCTTTTCGATCGCTCGCTCTCTTCATCGCTCGCTTTAGATCAGTCAGTCTGTGTGACATATCAAGTTGGTTATATTGTGTTAAGAAGGACAATAGACATGTGGATTCAGTTATATGAAGCCTAGTGAGGACTGTTAGGGGTCAGTTGATTCAGACTATTATTGTGAAGCATTCCTGTTGATTCATTGTGTTATATTGAAGCATTTCTTGATTCATGTAATAAAAGGATCAATAGCGAACCTGCATCTTCGAGTATTTCTACTGTAGTCGATGTTGTGTAGCATGAGTGGTTAAACTCGTTACATTTGGCACTACAGGCAAATAGTCTCGTAACATGTGGCGTTGCGAGCAGGGTAACTGTTCGCTCGTTACATATATATATATATATATATATATATATATATATATATATATATATATATACAAACGCAAAATACGAACATAGGATACTCATTGTTGGCCTCTTCGGGTTTTGAAAAAAAAGTTGTTTTTTTTTCAATGAAAACAAATTACATCAACTTGTCATGTGTGTAAGCGCATTAGTCTATTTGGAAAATCAGTTTTATTTTATTTATGCTATAAGACCTATTCAACTTAAGTCGGTCAAAAGTATATAAACCGTGAAAGCTTTGTATAAGTAATGGTGTGTCGTGTTATGTTTATTTTTATTTTTTTCGTATTTATATTATTAATTTTAAATACATTTCCTTTTTATACAATGTCATTCTTTAGTAAGTACTTTATAAAAAATAATAAGAAGCAGTAATTGTTTTTTAATTTGATTAGTACACATCTATTAAAAGGATCGTATGAGCACCCCCATTGACAATTTAAAGAAGGGAAATAAGTCATGAAAGTGGTTTGAACGTTTGGTTGACTTTGATACGTTTTCACAGTGCTTTAAAAACAAGGGGGGGGGGGGGGGGAAATAATATACAAGAGCGTGGGGTGGTGTCTATAGAATTAAGATAATCCAACCGCAGCTACGGGGATCTTTTTTACAAAACAACCATCAAGTCAAAAATGCAAGAAAATTTTTTAAAAATTAAATATAAAAAAAATTATTATGGTCGGCGGTGGGCCCCTAAATGACGTGGGCCCCCCCGCATTGCGGGGTCTGGCGGCACTGTAGTTCCGCCCCTGGAACAGACCCGTCGGGTCTGTTCTGTCTTTACTTGGACTATATTCTGTACCTTTGTCTACCCTTGGCGTTGAAATATCACTTTATGTTTATATTGCTATTTCAGTTACAACGCCTGCTTCCACCCCTTACCAAATTTAGAAAGATTAGGGGTACTTTTTACCAGTAATTGTCAGTAGTTTTTATATTGGTATCTCAGTTTTAGGATTGAGAGTAGACCTATGTTGCTACAGAAAATACTTTTGCCCATATCCTCCATTACGTGCTAATAACATTTTCTGGCTAAGAGAGTATTTGAACGAGGCCAGATAATATCACCAGCAAAAAAAAAATTAATATAGATCTAGGCCTACGACTGGTCTCTACGTACAACTGCAAATTAATTTTTTTCCTTTATAACAAAACTGTTTGATACGTTCAAAGCCGAAACAGATGAATAGTGTTCTTAGGATTAGGCTTAAAGGAATGTTTAGTAAAACAGGGCGTGAAAGGGTATGGTTAGGTAGCATATTGTACGACTTCAGTACAGTGTTTCTTTCAGAAATTTTTCTCCAGGTGGGGGGAGGGGGACACAATACTTATAGTATATATTTTGTATATAAGTATATAAGTATAAGGAGTATATTAAGTATATATTTTGATTATAAATTCTATTTCGTTCGGGGGGGGGGGGGGGGACCACCGAAGATAGATGCGTGAAAGCAACTCTTGTTTAGTGCATTAGTTTGCGTTACTTGTTTGTGTTGTCTCAAGATATATAAGAAAACGTGCTTTTAAAATGTAAAAATAACAACATGAAGTATTTTACAAGGAAACCTTGAACGTAATCTGTGATGAAAAGGATAGAATAGCAGGCGAAGAAAAATTCCTTGGATGTCAAATATTCTAGAAGGTAGGCCTAGTTTATAGCGGACGTTTTTTTTTAAATATTTTTTTTTTTGGTTGTTGCATCGAGATGAATCGTTTTGTTTATATACCCATGACAAACTTTTAGACAAAACAACACTGACATACCCAAAATAGACGTTTATCAATACATGGCGGAGATGGACTTGACGTCGATTGGTTAAAATGTAAGACACTTTCGTTTAAAACAAAACCGATTCAGTTTCTTCAATCAACGCAAATTGGTGTGTGCGTGCGTAAAACGTGAGATGTTAGTTAGTGTGTAATGAACACACGATTTGTATAATGTTTTATATGTACTATTCATGTATGCTAAGTAGCCTACTAAAATGTAGCGCAGGTACAGTGTGTTTGTGTATGTGTGTATGTGTGTCAAATGCCTACACATATGCCTACACACAAGGCGTGTGTGTAAGAAATGTGTTACTTTTGTGTATAATATACGAGTATTTGTAACACTCTTGTGTATAAGCAGCATACAGTCATTCACCCAGCGGGCCGTCAGTTGCGAAATGTAAAGCATTTACAAATACATTTTATTCACACTGTTTTTCTTTGTTTTCACAAGAGTAAAGGGAAATAACAAAAAAATTATCTGAATTATTAAAACCCGATTACCTCCCCTGAAGAAGCCACGCCAAGATAATCCTGCTGACTAGCAATTTACTTTGTAGATTTTGACTTCAATTTTTTTCACCCCCCCCCATACCACCCAAATACATTAATTATTGCTCTAACCTTCTAGCCTTCTTTTAGCTGATTTAACAGAATATTACATTTTGCTAGACATGCTGTTAGCAGTGAAATCCTAATTGCATAGTCCAAAATACAACACGTTTAAAATGTGTATCTTTACCAACTTCAAAGCTGTAGGCAACAAGCTGACAAAGTGCACGATCATAACTGTTGAAGATCATGACTGTTGAAGATCATGAGTGCTCAAGATCATGACTGATCAAGATCACGACTGTTCCAGATTATAACAGATAAAGGTGTACACAAGTGATTAAAACAGTGGTCTAGGCATGAAATTACAGCTGGTGGCAAAGATGCGCTAGCCTTGTTTTCACTGCCTTCACTTTCAAAACAGTGATTGTCATAAATAAATAAAATAATGCTGGATATACCATATATATATATATATATATATATATATATATATATACTCCACCACAGCAAAATTGTGCAGATTTTCCTTCAAACATCCCCAGATGTAAACTTAATAATTTAACCAGCATCCCCCTAGCCTGAAAACTTAGTCACCCCTCCCTCCATCTCAAACAAAGAAAAATGTCTGAAAGTAACCCTGCTTTTTTAGGGTTTTACATGTTATTGCAACAATGAACTAACAACTTTATTTTTGTGATATGTAAAATGTATTAAACATGTAACAATAAAAATACTACAAATATGTGATCTCTACCATATCAAGCTTTTGAAGCCAAAAAACACACAGAACATATATAATCCTCATTTGATGATGTGCCTTTCACACAGCCACTGGGTAGCTTACATGACAACTTGAATTTAAATTACCATAAACTTAAAAAAAAAGATCACAGAAAACTTATTAAAAGGGAAATAATTACAAACAAGACAAGAATTAATTTGGGTAAGTTAATACAAAATTACAATGAGATTCATTAAAAGAAATTACAATATTACAAAAGATAGTTAAAATTGAAAATAAAATATGACAATTTTATTTAATAAATTATCCAGTTATATTCACACAAACATTGCAATACATAATTGCATACAGAATGTACAGAGTTGCATTTGAAGCATTACTTGCTAGCTGTACAACATATTATGGTCCCTAATTCTTTTAACATTTACATTAATTATGTACATAAGTTAATCATGAATACATTGAGCAGGAAATGTCATGTCATTCCATGTCAGAAAACAAATCTGAGAATGACAATACACACACATATGTGCTAACATTATGATAAACAGCAAAACAACAACAGATAATAATATGAAGATTTTAGTTTGGAAAGGTTTAATTTTAGAGGCAAAACGATTAGAGATTTTGGTGTCTCTTTAAAGCATTTTACAGATAATATTGTACTTTCCCCACAGATACATGAAGTTAATATTTGTTTCCCTACTTTTATGTTTAGCTGAAATGCTACATCGTTGAGATTTGGACTCTATGCACAGACCCAGACAAAATTTTAGCAGTGGATGCTTGAAATTTCATCTATTACTAACTGATTTTAAATATATTTAATAGAAAAAACCTAATTTAAAAGTAATGCTTTATTCTCTGTGTCAACACATTTTTTGATTAAAATTAAATACAACAAGCAGTTAAAGGCTGACAAGTGTTTTAAATTTTTTTTTTGAAAAGTGAAAACATTACTTTATTTACTTTTTTAAAGAACTTATAACCATATTTTGTTGTGTGGGTGATTGGATACAATTTTTTCCCCAAGGACAGGCTAGTAAACTTTCACTCAGTTACCTCCCTTAGTTAAAGCTAAACATTCTTGGATTTAAGAAAGTGTAAATGTATTGTAAAAAGACATTTTCAAACTGAGGTTTTATTAAATTGATATTTAAAAGTTTTTTTTTAGTATGGATCTCTGTATCTTATCAATACTAAATATTGTTTTAAAAAGAAAAAATGACAATGTAGTGAGGAAGTGGATCTCTGACTATATGTAACAATGTGTAGTAACAGTGTAAGAGAGGTGGGGAAAAAATTGGCAGATAAAGGTGTGACAATGCCCTCAGCTTATAGTGGTAAATAGTAATTGGTGTTGTTAATAATAGAAAATAGAAAAGGATATATATATATATATATATATATATATATATATATATATATATATATATATATATATATATATATATATATATATATATATATATATATATATATATATATATATATATATATATGGTATCCAACTAGAGATGTATATTACCTGCTTGCTATAATATTTTATGAAAGTATATAGTATATAGCTATGGAATGTAGCTTGGAAAATGTTAAGAATGGAACTGAAGAGAAATGTTTAATTTTAGGACGAAAGAAGTTTTAAAAATGTTTCTTTAAAGATTTTTACAAATGAAGCTTACATTAGATTTTTAAACATCTTAAATTGAATATGATGTGTAAAAAATTTTCGTGCTTTAATAAAAAAAATCATGAAACCAAATTCAGGAAGAGGCAAGAAAACACCCAAAACATGCAATAGCAGAATTGGTAAAAATATTTTTTGTTTGTTTCTGAATGTGAAAGACAAGTAAACAAAAACTGAGGTAGTCAAATAGAAGAAATCTAGAAGCTTTGATGTGTGCAGGACTTACATGAAAGCTATTTTGTGAATTGGGGGAGATATAAAATAATTCTATAATAAACACCACTAAGAAAAACTGCAACATAGTTAGGTATTCTCTTTGGGCCCATAATATTTTGCGCTATCCTACTGCAACGTTCATACTTTATCGCTTATAATTTGTACATTAAGCACGACTACTAGTAAACATAATTAGCTACCTCACACCAGTGCGTGAACTTTCAATAATAATTTTTTTCCAAATCATATTTTTTGACTAGATTGTTTCACTTTTACAGATTGCTATTTTACAGATGTTCAGCAACATAAAAACATGAAGCGGAAAACTCATCTGAACACTGTTCAACAAATTGAAATGGGTTCAACATACAACATATACAGCCTGTGAATGTTGCTCATTGCAGATATTTATAATATTTGATACAGTGGTTCCCGGAGTCTGCAACAACTAAGATACCTTGTGTTGTTACGGCCAAACCTTGGGGCCCGTACAGAGGCTCACTTGCAGTGTTGACGTATGACAGGAATGATCCTGTTGAGTCAAAGACCTGCACAAAAATAAAGTTAACAAATAGATAATAAATTAAGAAAAATTAAAAAAATTGATTATTGGCTAAAACAAAAGTAATTTCATATTTTAAAGAAAACATTACGTAAGTAATGAAATCTGATAATTTATAATATGGTGGATCTCTATAATTTTTATAGGAAAAAAAATTGTAATTTTATATATCTTGGTTTATCTTTCAGTATATATAGTTTCCAGAAATATATATTGATATTAGTTAGTGTTATATATTTTGTAAACCTATGGTGAAAATATTCTTGCCTTTTTCTCCATTTGACTTTTTTTTTTAGGATTGCTGTATTAATTCCACACATATTGAATGAAAAGTTTAACATGGAAAACATACAGACAGTTTTTATTGAAACATTAAGTTTGATTTATCTAGAGAATAGCTTCACAGTTTGTTAACTTACTTGAATTCTAGAATTGCCCCAATCGGCAACTATAATATTTCCCTTTTCATCTACAGCCACACCAGTTGGTGCGTTAAACTGTCCATTGCCCTCACCGTTAGAACCAAAACAAAATTTGAAGACTCCATCTCTATCAAATACCTGGAATTGTAAACAATAAAGAGCTTAAATAATCAAAATAAAAAAAATTAGGAACCAGATAATTAAATGTTTTGAGGTAATTTTTTAAGTCAAAGTTAAAAGACTGCTAAAAAGTGGCAGCTGGGAGTTTTTCCCAAATGCTGTTCACACAAAGGCCCTTTCCCACATGAACATGCGCCCGGATGCGACAAATACCCAAATGAATGTTTGTCCAAAAATGCCTGAATGGATGTTTTCCCAAATGCGACAAATGCCCAATGTTTAGACCCCTTAATACTTAAATGTATTTAATATAATTTAAAAATAATACAATATTTGAACTAAAGAATGAATCAATTGAAGCCAACACTTAAAATGTTGAATCTAATGAAGCCAACATTTACAATGTTGAATCAAATGAAGCCAACAGTTAAAATGTTGAATCAAATGAAGCCAACAGTTAAAATGTTGAATCAAATGATAAAATGTTGAATCAAATGAAGCCAGCAGATAAAATGTTGAATCAAATGATAAAATGTTGAATCAAATGATAAATTGTTGAATCAAATGATAAAATGCTGAATCAAATGAATCCAGCAGTTAAAGTTTTAAATAATCTCACCTTGACACAGTGGTTGTGGAAGTCTGTGACGATGATGTCATTGTTGTCGTTGATGGCAGCGTAGTGCGGCCCAGCAAACTGGTCATCTCTGTTCCCCCTGGAACCAAACTTGTGCAGCAGTTTCCCATTGGACTGGAACACTAGAATACAGCTGGACTTGTTGTCCACCACGATGATGCGCCCCTCTTTGTCCACCACCACGCCCTTAGGGCCCTGGAGCTTGCCGATGCCTATACGACTAAACACAAACAGTTTGTTAACAGAGTTTGATATCTGATACGTGCTTGACATGGAACTTGCTAAGTGTTAGTGTAAAGTTAAGAAAGGAGTTGGATTTCGTTGCACAGCAACAATAAAGACAGACTGCAGTTACTATTTATCAGAAGACTATGTAGAGGATGGACAAACAATTAGCAAAATAAAATTATTAAATCCAAGCTGTGAGCATTTAATTATTTTTACACAACCAATTTGTATTTCAGGGATGGCATGGTGGGACGATAGTGGTCACAACTGCTAATCTGAAGGTCTCGAGTTCGGATCCTGGGCTAGTATCTGTAGGACGTCCCTGAGCACACTTTGTTCTGATGGGTACCTGACTCAAGAAAAGTAAAAGCTGCTCATTGTCCCCCTATTATGGTATGATCATTGAAACAGATCTCTACTTCATCTGCCCCCCATGTGTCATGGGTACACACATGAAAAGGTGATGAATTTGTATTCCAGTTGTGTCACTGAGTCAAGTCTCACCTGTGCTGACCACACCCCCACCTGTGCTGACCACACCCCCACCTTGTGCTGACCATACCCCCACCTTGTGCTGACCATACCCCAAGCTGTGCTGACCACACCCCAAGCTGTGCTGACCACACCCCCACCTTGTGCTGACCACACCCCCACCTTGTGCTGACCATACCCCAAGCTGTGCTGACCATACCCCAAGCTGTGCTGACCACACCCCAAGCTGTGCTGACCACACCCCAAGCTGTGCTGACCACACCCCCACCTTGTGCTGACCACACCCCCACCTTGTGCTGACCATACCCCAAGCTGTGCTGACCACACCCCAAGCTGTGCTGACCACACCCCCACCTTGTGCTGACCACACCCCCACCTTGTGCTGACCATACCCCAAGCTGTGCTGACCATACCCCAAGCTGTGCTGACCACACCCCAAGCTGTGCTGACCATACCCCAAGCTGTGCTGACCATACCCCAAGCTGTGCTGACCATACCCCAAGCTGTGCTGACCACACCCCCACCTTGTGCTGACCATACCCCAAGCTGTGCTGACCACACCCCAAGCTGTGCTGACCACACCCCAAGCTGTGCTGACCACACCCCCACCTTGTGCTGACCATACCCCAAGCTGTGCTGACCACACCCCAAGCTGTGCTGACCACACCCCCACCTTGTGCTGACCATACCCCAAGCTGTGCTGACCACACCCCCACCTTGTGCTGCTATAGATGTATTAGAGATGAGGAACCCAGATTTACCTGATGTATTTACCATCCATTGAAACAGATGAACTCTACTTCATCTGCCCCCCATGTGTTTTGGGCACACACATAAAAAGGTGATGAATTTGTATTCCAGTTGTGTCACTGAGGCTTGTCTCACCTCGTGCTGACTAGACCCCCACCTTGTGCTGACCACACCCCCGTCTTGTGCTGACCAGACCCCCACCTTGTGCTGACCAGACCCCCACCTTGTGCTGACCACACCCCCACCTTGTGCTGACCACACCCCCCACCTTGTGCTAACCACACCCCCAGCTTGTGTTGCTACAGATGTATTAGAGGAACCCAGATTTACCTGATGTATTTACCATCCTGGCTGAAGACACTAATCCACTTGTTGTCATAATCCGCCACCAAATAATTCCCATTCTGGGTGGCAGCAACGCCAGTTGGTCTCTGAATTTTCCCTGGCGCCCGGCCAGGTGTTCCAAACTTGAGACGGCACTCACCAGAGGGCGCAAACACCTGAACAGCCTGGTTATTGCTGTCTGCTACCAGAACTTTCTCTTCATAGTAGCACAAGCCTTGGGGGTTTGAGAACTCTCCTGACAAAGTTTACAAAAGTAGTGGATGTAAGAAAAATTGGGACTGATTTTTAGAAAACAATAGTCTAGGTATAATTATTGATCAGTATAATTAATAACACTAAAAAAACAACCATCAGACTCGTTTTTAATAAAAAGCAAAAATAAATAAATTAGTAAAACAAACAAGACATTATAGATAGAGAAATAGGAGAATTAAATTTTGTAAAAAGGGAGCAAAAAATAAAAAAAATTTGGAATAATTTAAAAAACAAGAAATGCATGATTATGTATAGACAATATTAGATTTGTTGGGTCTGATAAAGCAACAAGGTTGCCTACATCATACCAAAAGCAGGACAGCAACCATTTACATATTACCTATCTAGTACCTAATTTTATACACATATTTTATCACACAAATGAGATGAAGTCAAAATTGTACAACTAATAATGCTTGTTATCTCAGAGGATTTTTGTGTGCGATGACTCTGGGTTTTGGATTTTGAGACTATTTTCAAAAATTCAATTTGGTTACCTTTATTTCTACCTTTCACACCTATTCTAATGATGAGATCATCTTCAATACGATTGGTCCTTCGGTTGCTTGAACCCTGGGAC